CGCCCGGGAGGAGGTGGAGCAGGGGCCGGCCGGTGCTGGCGCCGGCGGCAGTGATTGGGAAGCGGTGTCCCCCTGGTGTTTCCCCAAAGCAGCCTTGAGGTTTGACTGCGACTTCTTGCCAATAGGTGTCTCCTCTTCCTCTTGCGCCGCATGAACTTGGCCTTGGTTGCTGGAGCCTTGAGTTGTGCTCAGCCTGCAGACGGCCCCATAAAATGCAATGCAGCTCTTTTTCTTTTTTCTTTTTTCACTACTGCTGCTTTGGGGGGGGATCTGTCAGAGCCCAGGGCAGGTTCAGTTGAGATCCTGGCAGGAAGGGGCGATCTGCGGACGCTGGGACCCTGCCGGGCCCCGGGGAGCTGGGACGAGTGCGTGCGCTGTGTATGTTAATGTTTGACGGAGTTATAGTGGGCAGAACGAATTTAGCTGCTTGAATCACTTTGAACCACTACATGCTAACATGCAAGAGCACATGGCATCGCCTGAATGATGATGAAATGCCATAAAACTTCCTTCCCCCTTCCCTTTGGCCGGAATACACCCTGTCATTAAAATCAGTTGTAACGTTTCAAAAATGAAAAACCCGTAAAAACAAAAAAAGAAAGAAAGAAAGAGAAAAAGGTCCCAGGATAGTTTGAAACCTAATCGTGATGCCCCCTCCTCCCTCCAGGGTACCAAAATAAACTAACAAAAGCTCCAGAGCTTTTCTTTCCTCTTCCTTCCGTGTAGAGCAGACAGCAGAGTCTGCGATGGGCACTGCTGGAGGAGGAGGCAGTGGGGGTAAGTTGCGGTAGTTTTATTGCAACTTTATTTCCCTTGTGAATGCTCTCGGGCAGGCACATCACAAACGCGGGGTAAGGGCACTGGCAGAGTTGGAGGGAAAGTGGCTTGGGTGCAGGTCTCTGCAAACCCTTCACTGTTAGTTTATTTTCCCGTCCAGCCACTTGCATGGGAGTCCATTTTGGCCCCAGGACATTTCCTCTCCTTCAAGCCTCCTTAACAATAACATCCTACTCAATAATGATGTTTATTTGGAGGCAAATGAAACTGCTAATCAAAGCCACGGCGGACTCCTCATTCGTCCTTGTGGATGACAGTCCCCTGAGGACACTAAACTGGGACCAGACACTTTCATCTCTTAGCAGGTGGAACATACTTCGCAGCTTTCTGCTTTGAAACCAATACTAGCACCTCTCTCTACAGCACAGCCTCAAGTCTTCAAAGTCAGCCTTAGATTTGGGAGGGCCTTTGATAAATTTGAGGAGCAGTTTAAGGCAACTGAACACGTCAGAATAAACATTCTAGAGGACCAGATAGCTATTGAAACCACTCCGTATCCTTCGCGTTTATCCCGCAGTTCCGAAACTCCGGTTGGCTCTCTGAGTGATGAGTTTTCCCGGGAATGCTAGAGCTCTTCTAGGGTTTTTGGTTGTAGCTAGAACGCTTTTAAACCTTTACACAGATGTTTTCAGGATGGGGCTTTGTTTCAATTGAAAGAATCCTGCCGATCTAAACGCTACTAGTGCTGTTGGGTTCCTGGGCTGGGGGGGGGGGATTGAACAGCTTTTTAAATGAAAAATGCATATTTGATATTTTAGTCAGTCCACATTTAGGTACCTAAAATAAGTGGGTTTATATTGACTTCATGCCTTTTGCTTCCTGATCCTTCCAATCGTTTGCAGACGATGCTAAGATAATTAATGGACCATGTTTAAAAAAAAAACCTGATCTTCCAAATCCAACTAAAATATGTAAATGGTGGCTTTTTGTTACAGGCGAGATCTCACTTTATTTCTGTGGTTTCTTGCGTATGAACCTAGTGTTTCTGATGCCTGGGCTAAACTGTCACAAGCCGCCTGCAATAATTCATTTCAATGTTGATATATTTTGCAAGGGGCTCAGAAATTAGGCCAACCAGAAAGTATGACCTAATCCAGTAAATACATAGGAGAGCTCTGCAAATGAAGGTGTACCACTGCCAAATGGCGACAATCAGAGAAAATATGCTATTTTATATTTTCTCTGTGAAGAGACTATTGCATCGCTCCCGATGGAAAAACTTACTAAATAAAGCCTCATGGATCCGTACAATTATTCTTTGGACGCTTCCATTGTATGGAGTCCCAGTGAGTTTAAATTCACGGCGTAGGACTGTTCCTGAAAGTCTAAACTTTCATCCCGGGGTGATCCCCAGCTGGTGTCAGTTGTCCTGGCTCCATTGCAGTCAACTGAGTTATGACACTTTACACTAGCTAAGGATCGGCCCCAAAGTACTTCTTGTAAAGCAAACATGCACAATTCACAGCTTTAGAGAAACAAAGCATGTTGGCCCTTAAACGCCTTGGATTTCCCTAATTTAATGGCATAGCTTTAAAGCAGACGACTAACAAGACAGGACGCGTTTACACCATCTTAACATCTCCCATCGCCCGAGTTTTACATTTCTTTGCAGTTCTTCAGAGGGAAAGTGCCAATCTAAACATTTAATTGGAGACACTAATATTTGCGGAACTGGCATATCAAACCGTCTGCAAATTGCTGTAAACAAGAGAATCAATACTGAAAGAACCAGATGTGCAGCAGCAAAAATGAACGCGATTCGATAGTAAGTTTAGCGGATATTTTTGAACAGTCTTTCTCCTCCCCCCATACCATTGTTAGGAAGCCAGATGGAGAAGAAATATCCTGCTAATAACAATTTATATTTAATAGTTATTACTGGTTCATATGGGAAGGGAACGGGAACCCGTCAGAAGTGCTGCAAAACTAATCAACTGAAGGGCTGATGTTGACTTTGTAGGATGCTGCCAGGGTTAGGATCAGCAGCAGTGTCATAAGGAGTGCCTGAGAGAGAGAGCATAGTCCAGGGAGAGGACTTTCGATTTTCCTGTGCCAGGAGCTGTAGTTTAGAAGAAAAAGGTCACAACATACAAATATTGGCTTGGGAACCTTGTCTAAATCAGAACAAACCAAACCCGAATATAATAATTGGGTAGAAAAAGAATTCCTACCTTCAAGGAGAAATGTTTCGTGGGTTACTGGGCTGAGCAAAAAGTGGCAACACCTAGAAAACCAGCCACTAGAAAAAGCCCAACATTCTCAACCTTGGTGCGTAAGTTAGGCACCAGCTCCCGATTTAGGCACTTAATTAAGTGGCCTGATTTTCATTTGCGCTGAGCCCCTTCTTTGAAGTCCCCTTGGGAGCCCTGGTTATTTAAGAGCTTTAAAACCAGGCCACTGATTTGGGTATCTTCGAGTGCATTCAGGCACTTTACATTACAGTGCTGGCTACAGAAGACAGGAAAGAGGAACATCTATTAGCCATTTTGGAGGAGATGTCCCATTCTCCTGCCATTTCCCCACCCCCTGCCCTCTCAAAACTCTTTGAAAAGAATTACCTTAATGATCCTGCTGTTCCAGATGGTGGTTTTAAGCTGATGCCAAGGCCTTTTACATACCCTAGTGATTCAGCGGCACAACTTAGAACAAACAGCTGGGAGCAAAGAAATAATGGAAACCCTGCATAGTCTGGGAAGGCTGGTACACAAGCATGACACAATGGATTCCCATTTGGCCTTGCCAGTCGGCTGCACAGATGTGCCACTTAAATCAAGAGGGACCCCTTTCCCTCCAAAATTAAAATCAAGCTACACCCCTGCTACATGCCCCCCCCCCCCCCCCCCCCCTCTCCCCCCACTTTGGCCCCCCCTACACCTTTCCCAGTTTTGGAGTTGATCCTTCTTCAAGGCAGGGGACAAGTCAGTTGGAATAAGAACAGAAGTCAAGTGGCCACCACAAGTTCAATATCAGTTTAGTAAATTTCCTCAGGCCAAGCCAAGGCCTGTTGGTTGCCAACACTGCATAAGCTGTAACAGACCATTTGTAACTGCAGCAAAGTTCTTTGTTATGAAGAGAGAGAGAGAGAAAAAACTATAATGGATTCTGATGGAAAAAATTGTATTTTCCTGGCACTTTGTAATGGAGCTTTCAGCCACTAGCCTGGAAAATGGTATTCCCTGAGTTTATAAGGGAATACCATTTCCATAGCTGCTTTAAAAAAAAAAAGAAAAGAAAAAGTATTCCTTTGAAATCCAGCCCTAAATTCTGGGAGCTCAACAATTTCAGCTCAGTCCTGGCTCCTGGGGTGGTGAGGTCATTTGCACACTGCGGACTTAGGTAAACTGAAATAAGTGTGTTTCCAAAGAGAGGAGAACAAAATCCTTGTTTTAAAAATCCCTTCATTTTTTTCAAACCAAAACACGGCAGGCAAACAGCAGCTCCCAAGCTGGGAGCTCTATGACTATGAGCTGATGGATTGGAGTAGACCGCCTCGGGAGGTCCCTTCCAGCCCCCTCCTATATGACTCTGTAGGGCAAAGTGAGGGGGCAGGTTGTGGGCACCAGCCACACTCCCCTTGAGTTGGAGACTGGCACAAAACAAGTTTGCAGATTCCCCTTACTCTGGAAGACTTGCCCCAGAGATTTTCTCCTTCCTTTGCCCCCTACACCGGGCTGGTATCAAAGTCCTTTGAAAATAGGCTTTTACAGCGATTGGCACTAGTGGGTGCTGCAACTAAATCAGCAGCATCCTCAGACAGGAGCAGCCTCCCCGGGGCGAGACTTCAACATCAGGGCCGCTGAGGGCAGGGCAGCAGGGCCGGCTCCACTGGCTGTTGGGACTGCAGCCCTGCTTGCTTGCCATTGGGACATCCTGGGTCGGAGGGTGGTGGGGGAGTAACATGGGGGGGGTGTATGTGTGTGTGTATATAACATGCTGGAGGTGTGTGTGTGTGTGTGTGTGTGTGTGTAACATGCTGGGGTGTATGTGTGTATGTGTGTGACATGCTGGGGTGTGTGCATGCGTGCGTGTGACATGCTGGGGTGCATGTGTGTGTGAGTGCGTGTGACATGCTGGGGGTGTGTGTACGTGTGTGTGTAACATGCTGTGTGTGTATGTGTGTGCGTGTACCATGCTGGTGTGAGTGTGTGTGTGACATGCTGGGGTGTGTGCATGTGTGACATCCTGCGGTATGTGTGTGTAGCATGCTGTGTGTGCGTGTAACATGGGGGGTGTAACATGCTGTGTGTGTGTATGACATGCTGAGGGTGTGTAAGCTGGGGGGGACACTCCGGGGGTGTTTGCTCGTGTGTGCGCGTGTCCCGAGGGCCCGCCCCGCCGCCCGGGGGAGACGAGAAAACTTTCCTGCGCGTGTTGCACCCAGGCCCGGCGCTGCGGGATCTCCGCGCCCTGCAGGCAGGAGCCGGGGCCGG